GCTCATCTTCCTTCTCATCAGTACACGAAGGGCACAGTGACATCTTTAACACAGGAGGTGGCACACTCACAAAAGGGTCTGCCCCAGGACCATCTATTCCCTTCTTTTTATTTATTTTTATTGATTTATTTATTTTTGGCAAAGTACACATTCAAGATGTGTGCTATGGGATTCACTGGTCCCCCCCCACCAAATTCATATGCTGAGGCCCTAAACCCCGACACAACTGCATTTGGAAATAGGATCTTTAGGAGGTAATTAACATTAAATGAGCTCACAGAATGGACCCCGATCTGATGAGTGTCCTCGTAAGAAGAGATACCAGAGGCCCCACTCTCTTTCTCTTCACCATGTGACCATGTGAAAACATAAGAAGGTGGCGATCTCTAAGTCAGAGATGGGGATCCTCATTGGGAGCCGAATCGTGTGGGATCCTGATCTTAGACTTCTCAGCCTCTAGAACTGTGAGAAATAATTTCTGCTGTTTAAAGCCCCCAGTCTGGTATTTGGCACCCTGAGCTGACTAAGGCAACATGCTAAAATATAAACTCGGATGTATAGGGCACCAGCCAGCCACATAACACGGCATGATCAGCTCACAGAGACTCAGGACATGCTTTGAGACAGAAGGATAATGGCCAGGTAGGAGGTAGGCTGCATTAATGGGGGTATGAGGTCCCCTCTGTACCCTAATTCTTTTTCCCTTCCCTAGTATCTAATGCTCTCTGAGGACTCTGCACTCCAAGTTATTTGGCAGATCCTCACCACCTCACTTAAGATCCCAAATCCTCCCTACCCACTAAACCACATGCCATCCTGAGCACCACTTTTCATTAGGTTTTAGGTCTTAGACAGTGATTAATTTCTGGCTGGGAAAAGCCACAACCTAGCAGTTGGCTGGCATCAAACACATGGGGATCAGATTAATTAGGATGACAGAAGGAACCTGGATCCCAGGGTTGTAGACACCAAAGCCAAGGTGCAGGCTGAGGTTCTCTGGGGACACCAGAGGAACATGTCCACAACAGGCAGTTACCAAACAGCACACTTGTTCTTCGGCAGTCCCAGGAGAGAGGACCAGATGGATGGAGGAGAGCAGCGTGCTCAAGACTTAATGTGTAGCTAATGCTCCTGGCCTGCTCCACGGCCCCCAGGCTTGGCTGCCCGGCTAGGCTGGGATTTTCAGAGTTCCCAGCTGCTGCCTAATGAGGAACAGCATGATCCAGCACGTCCTCTGGCCCTGGGGATTGCTCTGTAGAGAAATCTAGCAGCCATGGTAAGGCTGGGAGGCTTGGGGCTGCAGCAAGGGCAGAACTGAGATGCGGTGACACATTCAGGGAACAGTTAGGGGGCTCAGTGCACAATGACTCTTCCAAAGCCAGGAGGTCTCAAGATGCCTCCTTCACACCCAGGAAGCTGGAGGTCCTTTGCATTTACAGGGACCCCAAGCACTGAACTCTGCCCAGTTCTGAGTTCTAAAGCTTACCTCGATTGCACCCACCTCCACCCACATTGCTCTCCATGTTCTCATCCCATGCTCACGTCCAATCTGGGGAGGACTTCTCTCCTGGGCTGGCAGGCCTGGCTCTGCCTGGTGGACCTTTCCAGATCACTCCCAATGAGAGTGGCCAGGACTACCAGGAGAGGGCAGGTGGCACACAACTACTCAAGGTCTTCAGGATCTCCTCACTACCTAAAGGATTGACCCCAGTGGAATCTCTGGAGTGGCCCTGAGACCTCAATTGCCTACCTTCCACATACCTTTGCAGCACCAGTGTCCCCTCCAGCCACCCCCACAGTGATAGCCCCTCCATGTAAGGACCTGACCTGGCCTGCATTCCCTTTTCCATACCTTTGCTGACAATGTCTGTCTCCTTAGTTCCCTCCTTCCCTACTGGGCCTCTTCTTCTCTTCCTTAGACCACCTCTTCCAGGAAGCCCTCCTTGACTCCCATCCCCCAACCCCCTTGGACCTCCTGAGAGTCCCCCACGACTCTAACAGGTCCTTCCCTGCACACTGCCTCAGAGCTGCATTAGCTCTCTCTCTCTGCATCTGTGAGTATCCACCCCTCCTTGTACTCCTTCCCCTTGGACCTCCTGAGAGTCCCCCACGACTCTAACAGGTCCTTCCCTGCACACAGCCTCAGAGCTGCATTAGCTCTCTCTCTCTGCATCTGTGAGTATCCACCCCTCCTTGTACTCCATATCAGCAGGTTCCATGTCCTTAGAGTCAACCAACCAATTGGAAATATTCAGGAAAAAAAAAATAGAAATAAAAGACAATATAGTGTAGCAGGTATTACATAACATCCACACTATATTAAGTACTATTAGTAATCTGGAGATGATTTAAGTCCATAGGTTATATGCA